CCCCGCCCGCCTTTCTACTTGGTTGTCTGACTGTTGGAGTCTTCCCTTGACTCCAGCCTTGGGGGTGCTCACCAGGGTGTCAGCTTCACTTCGAAGCTGTGCTTGTGACAGACATGGCATGTCCTAGCCCGGAGGGAAGCGAAGGTGAAGCCTGGCCGAGGGCCCCATGTCCGCATGGGGGTCTTCGCTAACTTCACCCCCAGCCTCGGGACAAGGCTCTCCAGATCTCTGCATGGGGATGAAGGTGGGTATCAGGCTGAAAGGGCTGGGGGGTGGGGGGTGGGTCCGATCCCACACCTTCCCACCCTCTGATAGCAGATATGCGTACCGATGCAGGTGGGCATCTCCCACAGTAAGCTGTCGGGGCTTTCGGGGGTCCCCAGAGCCCATAGGGCAGGCCATGCTATGGCAAAGGAGAGCATAGGCCCGAGGAGCCAGATTCTCAGTGGCTGGGCTCTGGCTTCCATCCATTAGCAGATCAATGCCCAAGATGGTGCCATGCTCATCTGTCACCAGCAAAAGGCAGGAGAGGTGCAGGGGGGCAGCCTCTGGGGAAAGAGGGACAATTTGGGTGAGAGAAGGGGGCAGATAGTCACAGTCAGATATTCCAAATGTAGATGCCTTGAGGGGCAGACAACTTCAATGAGTAGAAGGGACTAGATCAAAGAGGGTCCCCATCTAAAGGGGGGGGGGGCAGGGCCAGAATGTAAGTCACATAGGCACCTAATCAAAATCGGGGTTTTTGTTTCTTTGTTATTTCACGCCTATGGGTGCTTTCTCCACATGTATGCCTGTACCTCACATGCATGCAGTGCCTGTGGGAGGCAGGAGAGGGTGTGGGATCCCCTTGGAAATGGAGTCTCAGAAGGTAGTGAGCCACCATGGGGGTGCTGGGGATTGAACCTGGAACCTCTGGAAGAGCAGCCAGTGCTCTTAACCTCCAAGCCATTTCTCCAGCCCTAGCATCTGGATTTTTCTTCAGATGCAAGGTCTCTGGACTTTCATTCTTTACAGTGCCTAGATGCTGATTCAAGTTAAAAGACAAAACCACACCGTGGCAGAACTTCGGGCATCAGATTTGCGTGAGGGTTACCAGCTTGTGATTCCTACTGGGGTTTGAGTGACGTGGGAGGAGTTCAGAAAGGTGTCTGGACAGGGGACAGGGCAGGGCCCCCCTGGGTTCTCACCACTCCTCCGCCCTTTCCTCTTTTCAGGAGCCCTCTCATCCTCTCCTCTGTCCTCTCGGCATCCATCATCACAGCTTGTCTCTTGCTGGGTCACCTGTGACTCGGCTGAAGGCTTTGCTTCTTGGGGCAATTCCCTGCTTGGAGGGGCTGGCTCCCCACCTCCCTGTGGTTCCACCTTCTCCACACCTGAACTGGCCTTTCCATTCTCCTCTTCATCTTCTTCCTCTTCCCCTTCTTCCCCATCCTCTAGGCTGACAAAACTGACATAAGGACTCAGGTCCCTCAGATGGAGTGGAGGCTCATCTCCCAGGAGCCGGGAAGCCCCCAGGCCTGGCCCAGGACCTGGCTCTGCACCTTGCCCCAGGCTGATGCCCACACTCCGGTTTGGTAAGACGTGGAGCACCCAGAGGGCAGGGTCCTGGGGCAGCCTCCTTATCTGAGCCTCCAGTTGACGCCATCGGCCCTCAAGGTTGGTCCCTATGGTCCCCTTCTCTGCCACGAACTTGCGGAACCAGCCAAAGAGAAGGGCAGCGAAATCAAGGAACTCATCCCGGTATCCTGACACAAACTCCATGTCTTCAGACACACAGGGCCTGGACCCAGACTGAGCAGAAAGGGATGTATGGTAACCGTCAGGAACAGGGGTAGTGGGGAGGGTATGGGCTGGGTCACAAAAAGGAGAAGGGTATGTATGGGTTTGAGATAAAATCTATGGAGTATTAGGAAATGAGAATAGGATTTGCAGGGATAAGGGTGGAGGGAAGCTGGATCGGAAAGTAGATATTTAGGGTTAAAGAGTACTCAGAGATGAAATCATAGTTTGAGGCACAAAACTCAATGACTCAAATCCTAAAGCAAGACTTGAATTAAGGGAAGACAGGAGGTAAGGCTAATCAATCCTACGGGGAAAGGCTTGCTGAGAAGGGAAAAACTTGGGGTCTGTTGATCTGTGGGAAATACAAGCGAGAGTTAGGTACTGAGGCTTCTCCTGGGCGAGGATCAGTTTGGTGTGAGCCCCAGTACACCCAACCCCTTTCCAGCCGCTCCTCTCCTCCGGTACCTGCAGCCGCCGCCACTTTTCGAAGGTAAATACCTCGTGCTGGAGGACCGTGGTGACGTCAGGGCTGCCCGAGCCCACGGCTCATAACCTGGGTGGCATGCTTAGGGCGTCTGGCCAGTGCGTGCCTGCGCACTCCCACAGGCCTGGTGACCTGCTTGACTGCTTCACCTTGGCCATGTGACTGCATCCCACTGTGACCCAGCGGACCAGGGAAGTGAAAGCATCTTGGAGCGGGCAAGCAGACAGGCGAAAAGACTGACATCCCGAACCCAACCGAGTCATTCTTCCGGGGGGCGGGGGGCCACGGCTCGCCCTCTCCGATTCCTCCGGCGCCACGGTCCGAGCTTTCTTTCGATTTTGTTAGGCAGTCTTGGCTGACCCCACGACTGGTGGTGAGTCTAGAGTCGGGTGAGGGAGCTCCGCCTTCGGGGGTTCCCCGACGGACGTGGGACGTGGGAGCTGGGCGCAGCGCAGGCTCCCCGGTACTGACCAGGCGGTCGGTTCGGGATATCGCGCGGGGGACGGAGGGCACCACCACCTCGCGCCCTCTCCCCACCTGAGCTCCGCAGAACTTGAGGCAGGCGGGGTGAAGAAGCAAAAGCAAGAGAATCAGCTGGATGTCGGCGAGGTGCCCTGGCGGCAAGAAGCTCCGCGGAGCCCGGAGATGAGGCGGGGCCTCGGACCCCTGTCCCTAGTGCTCTTTTTCTTCTTGCTGAATCTGCTGGCCCGGCCAGGTTAGTCAAGGGGTGGGACTGGGACAGAATGGAAGCTGTGGAGGGGCACAAGAACTGAGGGATTAAGAACTCAGCCCAGAGCTGCCAAAGGCATCAGCCAGGACTAGGGGAAGGCTGTCTGGGGTTAGACTGGGACTGGCATTACTCTGGTCTGGCGGGTAGGGGAGGCTGAGTGCGACAGCTGAGTTAGAAACCGAATAGTCTGAGCACCAAGGCCGATCCCTGTTTCCCCTTCAGGTGATGGCAACCAGGGCAGTGTCGCTGGCAGCTGCTCCTGTAGTAAGAGAATTCGTTCTGGCGGCCGGGTGCCGCCTGCTACTGTGGATCATATCCGAAAACACCTGAAAACATACGATCGCTGTCCATTCTTCATCAGGTACGGATCCCTACCCCACCCCACCCCCGGGAGTTATAGGACCTGAACACCCAGTCGGGATCGGGGAGCCTAGCTCCTTACCAGTTTCACTTATGTGGGGATTTCCAGCTCTAGTGGGACTCACCTGGGGTGACTTCACATCTTTGGAATGAGGAAAAGTAGGAAGGGGAAGGAGTGGTCATGGGAGACTAGATCGATCGTCTTGCAGGTTTCAGTTACCATCCACGAGTGTGTGTGGAGGAAGCCAAGAGCCGTGGGTTCGTGAATTGGTAAGCTGTTTTGACAGCAAAGGTGAGAGAGCCTTTTCTATTCTCCAGTGGGCCTCCATCTTACAATTGCCTTTGCCTCTGCCACACAGCACTTTCCTAACTCTGGCTGAAGTGCTTTCTTAATTCTGAGCCTTCTCAATATCTTTTCTGTCATCTTCCTGGTTTCGGCCAATTTGCTCTACCACACACGCCATTTTCTTCTTCTATATAATTTATTTTTATTCCGTATGCATTCATGTTTTATGTAAATGTATGTCTTATGAAGGTGCTGAATCCCCTGAAACTGGAGTTACAGGCAGTTATGAGGTGCCATGTGGGTGCTGGGAATTGAACCCAGGTTCTCTGGAAAAGCAGCCGGCACCCTTAACCACTGAGCCATCTCTCCAGCCCTACTTTATATTTTCTTGAAGTCACTACTATAATATAGAGTGTATTCGAGATTGATCATGCTAAAAAAGTGCTCTACCACTGAGCTATCGCCCTGTTTTTAAAACATTTTCAGACAGGGTCTGGCTAAGTTGACCAGGATGGTCTTGAACTTGGTATCCTCCTGTCTCAACCTCTCTAGTAGCTGGGATTACAGGTCTCTACAACGGGCTTGGCTTTCACTATTGTATTGTAATTGAAATCACTTGAAGGTACTCTTTTCATTTTCTAATACTTAATGATGAAAATAAACGTTAAGGTTGAAAGAGTTTATCCAGGTGTGGATAACCCTAACATTCTGGGAAGCAGAGGCAGGTGGATCTCTGTGATTCTGAGGCCAGCCTGGTCCACAGAGTGAGTTTTAGGACAGCCAGGGCTCAAAACAAAACAAAACAAAAAGTTGAAAGAATTATACAGAGAACAACCTCTATGAACATCAACTACACTCTTCAATATTTGATTTACAATTTTATATTTATATAAAGCAAATACACAATCAGTAACAATTACAGTCTTGGTTCTACAGCATTTTATTATACTTGCATTATTGCAAACCTGTTCTGTTGTCGATCCATCTCTCTACCCATCATCAATCTTCCTGCTCCCCCCCCTTAAAGTGATCCTCACAAGTGCTAAGATTACAGGCATGTACTATCACTCTCCCTTTCAACTCACCTTATTTTAAAAGTTTTTCATCATAAATTGCAGATATTATTATATTTAATCACCAAACATTTTCAGCATGTATTTTACTGAGTTCATTTTTTTTTATTTGTTTGTTTTGGTTTTGGTTTTGGTTTTTCAAGACAGTGCTTCTCTGTGTAGCCTTGGCTGTTCTGGAATTTACTCTGTAGACCAGGCTGGCCTTGAATTTATAGACATCCGCCTGCTTCTGCCTTCCTGAGCACTAGGATTAAAGGCCCAACTCTGAGTTCAGTATTTTATAGCTCTTTTTTTCTTTCTAGGTTAAAAAAAAAAACCTCAATCAACTAAATGAAAAAACCTTAAGTATTCATAAGCCAGTTTTCAAACATACAAGAAACATACAAGCCAGATGTGGTAGTACACACCTTTAAGCCCAGCACTTGGGAGATAAGAGATGGGTGGATTTCTGTAAGTTTGAGGCCAGCCTAGTCTACAGAGCAGTCAGAGATACACAGAGAAACCCTGTCTCCAAAAAACAAATAAGATAGAAAACAGGAAATGTTCTTCGATAGTCTACCTGGTGTCAACGGTCCCCACACTGCCTTTCAGGCTAGGGAGACCTACATTATTTCCTTCAACCCTCCCAGATGCCCTGGGCCTTGTTACCAGGAAGTGAGTCCCAGAACAGCTGCAGATGAGGAGTAAAGTCCCTCCAGAGTCCAATGCAGTGCAGCACCCCTGCTTGCCCTGTGACTTTGTGGTTTGTGGTTCATGATCCTCGTCTGTCTGTCCCTCTGCCACTGTCTTCCTCCCCTGGCCTTCAGCTGCCCTGCCCCAAATTTCTTTTTGCACAGAACTGGGGAATGAGTCCAGGACCTCACCTCATACATGCTAGGCAAGAACTCTGCCACTGAGCTGTAGACACAGCTCTTAACTGTCCTCTGGATGCTCCCCATGCCCTCCCTCTGCTGGGCTCAGAACATGACACCCAAATAGGTGATTTCAGCAGTTGAGAGACTCAACAAAGCAAATCACTCTGACTTTTCTCCACCTTTCTGGGTGCCAGCAGGCCACAGAGGAATTCCATGACTTATGTCACCTGGAACTGAGGCATAATACTTTCATGCTATAGGAGCCCTGGCCAGGACTCGGAGGCCAAAAAGAATCTGGCAAGGCCATACTGGTCCCCTCCCTGTTACCCTGGGGTGGGGGTGGGGACTGGAGATTTAATCCAGAGTCTTGTACATGCTACACCCCAACCCCCCCCCCCTTGTTCACGGCCACTACTCAGAACCCTTCCTGTCCAGTCATACAACTGTCCATTCCTCATCCAGTCTAAGCACAATGGAATAGGTTCCTGTGTCCCATCAGACTTTGACTCAACTTGTTCTGCTTTTCTGGTTACTCTGCTTTTTTTTTTTTCTTATTGGCGGCAGTGGCAGGGTGTGTGTGTGTGTGTGTGTGTGTGTGTGTGTGTGTGTGTGTGTGTAAAACCCTGAAGATAGGTGAGGAAGATACTTCAGCTGCTCCAGTGGCCCTGATCCTTTGTTTGTTTTTTCTCCAGAGTGTGGAAACGGTCATGGGAAGAGCTTACACCACCAGGAGCATTTGCCTCATGCTAGCACCCGGATCCCAGTGGCCACGGAGGGGACACCTCCAGACACAAGCACCCCTGCAACGATTCAGAGTACCCAGCAGTCCACTTTGCCACCTGGAACACTGTCCTTGAACAATGAGCTCACCCACCACAGCAGATCCACTGCCCTCACATCAGGCTATGAAACCACTGTTCTCACGTCAGGCTATGATCCCGAAGCTGGACCTGAGGCTGAGGCCAATAAAAACCGGTCGGAGGGCAGCCAGCAGGAAGGACCGCCAAGGGCTTCAGCTGGCATACAAACCGCAGTACCGGTGGTGTCTCTCCTGGCCATTGTTTTCCTTCTCGTGGCAGCCATGGTCTACATGCTGTGCAACAGGAGAGTGAGACGGCAGGGCTCTGCAGGTATGTGAGACTCCTGAGCCTCACCTCAGGGACTGGAGCCTTCCTGGCAGCTGCTAACAGAGGTACCAGATAGCAAGGCTGTCAGCACCATGGGCCGTGAGGGAAGTCGGCCAGCATGGACTAGGTCTTTAGGTTAATTAGTGTCTAGGAGTCTGACTTTCCATTCAGTTCATGTCCTGCCTCTGTTCTGCTTCATCTCAGAGTTCATCTCCCAATTTCTTTACTCTTTCCAGATCTGCAGCTCCATTATACACTGGTGAACCAAGACGCCAGCGCCTGAAGAAGAACGGAAGCTTGAGAGAGAGGACTCGGGAGATAGGTGGCAGACTGGGCTCCATCAGTGAACTGGACCTTCGTTCATTCATTATTTCCTATGCTGTTCTGAGACAAAGTACTGAGATCACAATCCAGGGCAGCTCTGAGTTGTTGGTTCTCTGCCTCTGCCGCCTAGGTTCTGGGATTACAGGCATAGGTCACATCTGCCCTAATCTACTTCTGTAAAAAATGTGTAAGTTTTTAGAGTTCTGTTTTGTTTAGCCAGGATCTTATTTAGTCCAAGCCTGCCTCAAATTCCCTATGTATCTGAGGATGACTATTGATTCTCCTACCTCCACGTCCATAGTGGATTACACACTTGCTAAACACCTTTTTTTTTTTTTTTTTTTTTTTGAGATAGAGTTCTCTATGTAACAGCCTTGGCTGTCCTGGAACTCGCTTTGTAGACCAGGCTGGCTTCAAACTCACAGAGATCCACCTGCCTCTGCTCTTCATGATTAATAATATATGAGCAGCACCCCCCCTTCCCCTTAGTCCTCTCCCCTGCTGCTAATAAAATGTACTATTCTAAATTATGTGGTCTAGAAGTACAGCCCCAGGCTGGAGAAATGGCTCAGAGGTTAAGAGCACTGGCTGCTCTTCCAGAGGTCCTGAGTTCAATTCCCAGCACCCACATGGTGGCTCACAGCCATCTGTAATGAGATCTGGTGCCCTCTTCTGGCCTGCAGGCAAACATGCAGGCAGATCACTGTATACAAAATAAATAAATAAATCTAGAAGTACAGCCCCTGGGTAGAATGCCTGTCTAGCATGAGTAAAGTTCTAGGTTTAACCCTCCCACTACCAATAAATTAATTTTTTTTTTTTTTTTTTGGTTTTTCGAGACAGGGTTTCTCTGTGTAGCTTTGCGCCTTTCCTGGAACTCACTTGGTAGCCCAGGCTGGCCAAATTAATTTTTTAAAATGTCTTGTTTTTTACATTGTATAACAATAAACTGGCCAATTTCTGTGTCTTTAACTGTAATAGTAAAATTGCTTTTAGAATCAGTGGCTGAGGGCTGCAATTGTTCTTGCAGAGGACTCATGCAGTGGCTCACAACCGTATGTAACCCCAGTTTCTGAGGACCCGACAACCCTCCTTTGGCCTCCACAGGCACCAGGTAATGCACATATACATACAAAGGCAAACTACTATCCATACACATAAACCTAAACAACTTTTTTATTTTTTAGAATTACTAACTTCTGCAGACACTGGCTTAAGTTTTTGTCCCCTTAGAAGGGCTGATGGTGCCCCCAGGCCACAAGTTCCCCTTCCCACTACATCAGCTCTTCTCCAATCCCACACCGAAAGCCTAGGCCTTCTCCCTGCTGTGCTGATTCCGTGCAGGCTGGACTCACTTCCTCAATCTCTCGATCCCAGAGAGCAAGCCTGATCTTTATAAAAAAAAGTTACAGCTTTTATTATTAAAACAGTTCCGGTTTTGTTTCTTCCAATGAGGAACATAACTTCTCTCTCTCTCTCTCTCCTCTGTCTCTCTCGGTTTTTTTGAAACAGGGTTTCTCTGTGTAGTCCTGCCTGTCCTGGATCTCACTCTGTAGACCAGGCTGGCCTCCAACTCACAGAGATCTGCCTGCCTCTGCCTCCCGAGTGCTGGGACAAAGGTGTGAGCCACCACTCAGGCTCCATAACTTCTTTTTGAGGAAAGGTCTTGCTATGTACTTAGCCCCGGGTGGTCTCAAACTTCAGCAACCTCCCCCTCCCTTTCCCAAGTGCTGGGGTTACAGGTTCAAGCCATCATGCCTGCTTATGAGAATATTTTTATTGGGGGGCTGGAGAGATGGCTCAGAGGTTAAAAGTGGTGACTGCTCTTCCAGAGGGTCCAGGTTCAATTCCTAGCACCCATATGGTGGCTCACTACCTTCTGTAACTCCATTTCCAAGGGGATCCAACACCCTCTTCTGGCTTCCACAGGCACTGCATATATGTGGTGAACAGACATACATGTGGGAAAATCGCCATACTTGTAAAGTAAAAAAAGACCTTAACAAAAAAAGGATATTTTTATTGGATCTTCTGGAACCCCAGGGCAGGGTGTGCATGAGGAAGAGGGTTGGGCAGTTGTCTCTCTGGCTCCTCTCTGAGCTTGTGGAGTGGAAAGCAGGGCCATCTTGCTGGAGGAGCCAGAACACATCTGTGGGCAGGCGTGGGCTGGAGTCTCTAGTTCTGCTTTCTGCTCCATGGTCCTCATCTGCCCTGACCAGTAGAGCACGCATCACTCTGCTCCCCAGCCTACCAGTCTCTGGCTTCGGTCCCAGGGTGCAGGTCACACTCTGCATCATCTTGACTTAGTTCTCCAGCATCTGTTCACAGGTGCGTGCCACATCGCTGATCTTGAGGCGGGCATAGTCCACTCGCTTCAGCGCCATTTGACAATCCTTCCTGGAGGAGTAGCTGGAGCCCTCGTGGGGCTGCCCTGTGGCCACCTACAGGACAGTTGGATCGATCAGTGGAGCACTGCCTTCCGTGACCACCCCACAACCAGACATCAGGTCTCTGATCTCATTTCTGTCCTGAGTTTGACCTACTTTAGCTGTGTGGTAGCTCAGCGATCTAAGGCAAACCACTTAACCCATGTGAACCTCATCTGTGAAATGTGGCCGGCCGTGAGTACTTCCTAGAGTTGGAGGATAAGACTGCAGAGTAAGGACTTTGGAAGTCTCCTAGTGCTGTCCCTTTACTTGGTCCCCAAGCATATGGGGCGTCATCAGGTCAAGTTTCTGGGAGCAAAGTTCAGTGGCTTCAGTTTTATGTTTTGTTCAGCACTGGGGCCTCCTTTAGAGTAGGCAGGTGCTCTATCATGGGGCCCCGCCCTCTTTTTTTACCTACTGGGTCTAAATTGCCCAGACAGGTTTTGAATTTGTGATTCTCCGGCCTCTTGAGTGGCTGAAATTACAGGCCTATACTACCTGGTCAGACTAGGTATTGTTTACACACCCTATACACTTTTAATCCCTAGCTTTTACAGGACTAAACCAGCCCTGAAATGAGGCTACTTCAAGCCAGGCAGTGGTGGCACACGCCTTTAATCCAAGATCTTTGGAGGCAGAGGCAGAGGCAGGCAAATCTCTGAGTTCGAAGCCCAGCCTGGTCTACAGAGCTAGTTCCAGGACTGGCTCCAAAGCTACACAGAGAAACC